TGTTGACACTGAGTTAGATGAAGTCAGAAAGGGGCTGCTGAGGGTGATGCCGGGGTGAAGGTGGATACAGAACAGTGGGCAAGGGATGATGGCTGAGGGGTGAAGAGTCAGGGGTGAGAGATGAGGAATGGGGGATGATGGGTAAGGGATGATCGGTGAAGAGTGAGGAATGACGGATGATGGGTGAAGGGTGAGTGATGGTGGATGATGGGTGATGGATGATGAGTGAGGGATGAGGGGTGATGGGTAAGGGACAATGAATGATGGGTGAAAGATGAGGGATGATGGGTGATGGGTGAGGGATTATGGATGATGGATGATGGATGACAGGTGATGAATGATGGGTGAGGGATGGCAGGTTAAGAGTGAGGGATGAGGGACGATGGGTGAGGGATGAGGGATTATGGATGAGGGATGAGGGACGCATGGATGAGGGATGGCAGGTTAAGAGTGAGGGATGAGGGATGATGAGTGATGGGTGAGGGATGAGGGATGAGGGATGCATGGATGAGGGATGGCAGGTTAAGAGTGAGGGATGATGGGTGAGGGATGAGGGATGAGGGACGCATGGATGAGGGATGGCAGGTTAAGAGTGAGGGATGAGGGATGATGGGTGAGGGATGAGGGATTATGGATGAGGGGTGAGGGGCGCATGGATGAGGGATGGCAGGTTAAGAGTGAGGGATGAAGGATGATGAGTGATGGGTGAGGGATGAGGGATTATGGATGAGGGGTGAGGGATGAGGGACGCATGGATGAGGGATGGCAGGTTAAGAGCGAGGGATGAGGGATGATGGATGATGAGTGATGGGTGAGGGATGAGGGATTATGGATGAGGGGTGAGGGATGAGGGACGCATGGATGAGGGATGGCAGGTTAAGAGCGAGGGATGAGGGATGATGAGTGATGAGTGATGGGTGAGGGATGAGGGATTATGGATGAGGGGTGAGGGATGAGGGACGCATGGATGAGGGATGGCAGGTTAAGAGTGAGGGATGAGGGATGAAGGATGATGGGTGAGGGATGAGGGATTATGGATGAGGGGTGAGGGATGAGGGACGCATGGATGAGGGATGGCAGGTTAAGAGTGAGGGATGAGGGATGAGGGACGATGGGTGAGGGATGAGGGATTATGGATGAAGGGTGAGGGATGAGGGACGCATGGATGAGGGATGGCAGGTTAAGAGTGAAGGAAGAGGGATGATGAGTGATGGGTGAGGGATGAGGGATGAAGGATGAGGGATGCATGGATGAGGGATGGCAGGTTAAGAGTGAGGGATGAGGGATGATGGGTGAGGGATGAGGGATGATGGATGAGGGATGAGGGATGCATGGATGAGGGATGGCAGGTTAAGAGTGAAGGAAGAGGGATGATGAGTGATGGGTGAGGGATGAGGGATGAAGGATGAGGGATGCATGGATGAGGGATGGCAGGTTAAGAGTGAGGGATGAGGGATGATGGGTGAGGGATGAGGGACGCATGGATGAGGAGTGAGGGGTGACGGTGAGGGATGGAGGATAATGGGTGAGGGATGGTGGGTGGATGGGTGAGATGTGAAGGATTATGGACGAGGGATGATGGATGACAGGTGACGAATGATGGGTGAGGGATGGCAGGTTAAGAGGGATGATGAAGGATGATGGGTGAGGGATGAGGGATTATGGATGAGGGGTGAGGAGTGAGGGGTGATGGTGAGGTAGAGAGGATAATCGGTGAGGGATGGTGTGTGGATGGGTGAGGGGCGAGGGTTGATGGGTGCATGAGTGAGGTCTGAATGGATGAGGATGATGGATGGGACGCATGGATGAGGCGTGACATGTGAGGGATAACGGAGGAGTGAGAGATCAATTGGTGAAAGGTGATGGGTGAGGAATGCACGGATGAGGATGGGCGGGAGGCAGGAAGGAAAGAAGGAAGGGGCGGGCGAGTAAATGGGAGAAAGGACGCATGGACAGAGAGGGGTGACAAAGCTCTGGGAGGAAACGGGCGACAGTGAGCACAGGACAAGGCTGAACGCAGCCGGCGGCCACGTTACATTGTTGCCTGAAGCGGATGTTTGTCTCTTCCCCGGGAGGCGACTGCTCAGCTCCTCCGGGAGGAACACTCGGAGTCTATTTTTAGCTCTGCAGGGAAGCAAGTGCCCCTGGGAGGCGTCCAGCAGCCGTCGGTTGGCCCTGCTCGGACTTTTGTGGTCAGGACCCCACCGTGGCCTCCTGCCTCAGCCCTTCCTGCACTTCCGGCCGGCCGTGAAAACAGAGTGTTTGGGCCAGGTGGAGTTCGCGGGCTGGCCGTTCCCAGTGGTGGTTCTTTTTAAAAATAGCTCAGACGGTTTTTAAACACTGGAACCAATCGGGGCTGGACAGAGAGTACCAGGGTTGAAGGCACTTGCCCTGCCTGTGGCCAATCCCAGGCCTCTTCCCAGCTCCACACAGGGTCCCCGAGCACTGTCAGGGCTCACCTCTGAACACAGTCAGGAATAGCCCTGAGCATCCCAGGATTTAAGGAAAACAATTGCCAAGCTGCTCCCATCCACAGGTAGTTGTCACTGTGGCTTTGCTCTGACGTGTCACGAATCTGGATGGGCAGTTCAGCTGGTCGCGGTTGGGTCGTGGATGGAAGCAGTATTGACGAATGGCCTTGGCCGAAGAGATGGGACAGTGGTTAGCGCACTTGCCTTACACACAGTTGACCCGGGTTCAATCCTCAGTACCCCAAATAGTCCCCTGGACTTTTCAGAATCAGAAGTCAGAGAAGGGCAAGAGTTTTGGTTTTTTTTTTTTTAATTTCTATTAAATCACCATGAGATATCGTTACAAAACTTTCATGTTTGAGATTCACCTATATAGAGATCGAACACCCATCCCTTCACCAGTGCAAATTTTTCACCACCAATGTCTCCAGTACCCCCCCCCCACCCCCATTCCAGTCCTCACCCTGCCTCTATGGCAGACAATTTCCCCAATACACTCTCTCTTTACTTTGGGGGATTATATTTTGCTCGATTTTTCCCACCACCATTCAAGCCTGCTTGCCAGGGCCAGACTCTATCTCGTTTATTTTCCACTGCTCTTTTTGAATTTCATGGGAGGTCGCGCAGCTGCAAAAGCTGCCACGTGCTTCTGGAATTCTAAGACTGGAAATGGTTGGGTTCCAGGGACAACTCTGTAGGGCACTGATCCATTTGGGGAATTCAACTGGGAGTTTCTGGACCCAGGCTAAGATGGCGCCTGGGGGCGGGTTGTGGGCATGACATCTGGAATCAAGAGTGGGCAGGGAGCCGGGGAGGGGCTGTCCAGCTCCGCTGCCACAGTGCAGCTTGGAGACTTAGTGCTGGAACCTGCATACCTGAGCCATGCTTGTGAGAGCTCCTGGGCGCTGGGATTCCCTCTGGAGTGGGCGGGGAGAGTGCACTTACTCCATCAGGGCAAGATTTTTTTTTTTTTGCCTTTTTTTTTTTTTTGGTCACACCCAGCAATGCTCAGGGGTCATTCTGGCTCTGCACTCAGAAATTACTCCTGGCCGTGCTTGGGGGACCATGTGGGATGCCGGGGATCGAACCCGGGTCAGCTGCGTGCAAGGCACACGCCCTACCCGCTGTGCTCCAGCCCCAGGGCAAGATTTTTTTTTTTTCAATGTTTTAGGGCCACACTTGGAAGGAAGGCAGCTATGCTAGCCACTATACCACCAACGCTGGAGCGATAGCACAGCGGGTAGGGCGTTCGCCTTACATGCGGCCAACATGGCCGACCCGAGTTCGATTCCTCCGCCCCTCTCGGAGAGCCCGGCAAGCTACCGAGAGTATTCGATATGCCAGACACAGTAACAACAAAGTCTCCAATGGAGACGTTACTGGGCCCGCTCGAGCAAATCGATGATCAACGGGAGGGCCTTTACCTTTACCTTTACCTAGGGCCACACTTGATGGTGCTCAGGGGTTACTCCTGACTCTGTGCTCAGGGATCACTCCTGTTGGGCTCAGAGGACTCTAGGGGATGCAGGAGGTTGAACCCGGGTCACCTGTGTGCAAGGCAAGCACCCTCCCCGCTGCACTGTCCCTCTGGCCTGGGGCAAGAAATTTCTTCCTTTGACAGATTTTACACATTGAGGTTTCCATGTTGGGGGTTTGAGTGTTTTCTAGTCAAACAATGATTTTATCGCCTGAATACACAAATGATTCCGAGTTGCAGTTCAGCGGAAGGACTCACTGAGTCTCATCACAGAGCCCAATAGTACGGCTGTCACTGAGCATCAGCCGGAATGTAGCCAACTCCTCCCTGAACTCATCCTGATCGTTGCTTTCCCTCCGCTGCAGAGGTGGTCGAGCCTGGGGGAGCGAAGGCCGGGGCCTGCAGAGGAGAGAGCTGGAGGGCCAGAAGGACCTCCAGCCTGTGGCTCTGCCTGCCCCGTGGAACCCTCCAGGCTTCACAGCACATCACAAATGTACCTGCAGGTCCTGGGACGTAGCTCAGGATAAACCCAGCCCTAGCCCTAGCTGGCCAGAAGGCCGGAGCCCTTGTCCAGAGCCATCTCTGCCCTGGCTCCTCACCCTGTCAGAGTCATGCTGGCTGTGGATAGGCCCCCAGCAAATCATCAGTGCTGAGGGCTTCAGAGAAGGTTCCAGAAGCTGTTCATTTCCTTCCTCCCTCTGACTGTGCATGCCCTAACAGGCCAGTCCTGGGCAAGTGGTGTGAAATACTGAATTTTGGATGGCAATCCTCGGATCACCAAGTCTTTCTTACTTACTCTTAGAGGGGCAACACCCAGTAGCCCTGGGGGTAAGGGGTCAGTACAGGCCTGTGACAGGCCGTGAAGCCTGGAGGGTTCCATGGGGCAGGCAGAGCCACAGGGGGGCCACCAGGGACACCCCCCGCTGGGCTGACGGGGAGGGTCAAAGGATCCCGAACCTACCAGGCACACACGTGCCTCCACTCGACTCTCTTCTGACCCGTGTGATGATGTCATGAGCCATCTGCTTAGTGCGGTCTCTCTCTCCTTCCAGATTGTTCTCTGGGGCCGGACTGAGAAATGCCTGCGGGAGACGACGGAGGAGATTCGGCAGATGGGCACTGAGTGTCACTACTTCATTTGTGATGTGGGCAACCGCGAGGAGGTGTACCAGACGGCCAAGGCTGTCCGGGAGAAGGCGAGTGGACAGTGGGGCTGTCCTCGGGGCCGGGCAGCCAGGGGCGGCTCTCCCTGAAGCTGGCCATGTGTCTGTGTGTACGTCTGTGTGTGTGTCCACTGTGTGTGTATGTGTGTGTGTGTCCCCATGTGTATGTACGGGGAGGGTTTGTGTATGTGTCTATCTGTATGTCTGTGTGTATCTGTGTCTGTCTGCATGTTTGTGTGTCTGTGTATATATGTATGTCTCTGTTCATATGAGTTATGTTTGTGTGTCTGTGTGTGTCTTCTGAGTCTGTGTGTGTGTCTCTGTGAGTCTGTATTTGTATTTGTGTGTCTGCATCCGTGTGTCTTGGGCGTCTGTGTCCGTATAAGTCTGTGTGAGCGTGTGAGGGTGAGTCTGTGTGTGTCCGTGTGAGTCTCTATCTGTATAAGGCTGTGCCTGTGTATGTCTGTGAGGGCCTGTGTCTGTGTGTCTGTCTATGTTCCTGTGAGTCTGTCCATGTGAGTCTGTGCCTGTGTGAGTCTGTGTGTGTGTGAGTGTGAGTGTGTGTCTGTGTGAGTGTGTGTCTGTGAGTCTGTGTGTGTCCGTGTGAGTCGGGGAGTCTGTGTCTGTGTGAGTCTGTATCTGTATGAAGCTGTGACTGTGTGTGTCTATGGGAGCCTGTGTCTGTGTGTCTGTCTGTGTCTGTGTCCCTGTGAGTCTATCCAGGTGAGTCTGTGTGTGTCTGTGTGAGTCAGTGTCTGTGTGAGTATGTATCTGTGAGTCTGTATGTGTCCATGTGAGTCAGTATCTGTGTGAATGTGTGTCTGTGTGAGTGTGTGTCTGTGTGTGCCTCAGGGGCTGCTTTGGCTATGGGTGAGGATGTGACAGGAGTCATATCCTGCTGTCCCTGGAGGATTTAGGCATGTGTGTCCCTCCGTGGGGGACACACACTCGCCTTCCTGCTCATGCTGAGGGCACAGTGGCCCCCGGGAGCAGAGTGCTGAGCCCCCGAGTAGGTTCTGACGCTCAGGACCCGGCCGTCATGTCCCTCTGCTGCAGGTGGGCGACATCACCATCCTGGTGAACAACGCGGCCGTGGTCCACGGGAAGAGCCTGATGGACAGTGACGATGACGCGCTGCTCAAGTCCCAGCACATCAACACCCTGGGCCAGTTCTGGGTGAGGCGGAGTGCCGGGCAAGGGGGGACCCCGAGGCGGCGGGGAGGGGGACCCGGGAGGGGAGGGATGTCCAGAGACAGGAGGACACATGGCCCCAGGAGGCACGCTGACCCCCGCCTGCCCGCAGACCACCAAGGCCTTCCTGCCACGCATGCTCGAGCTGCAGAACGGCCACATCGTGTGTCTGAACTCGGTGCTGGCGCTGTCGGCCATCCCCGGGGCCATCGACTACTGCACGTCCAAGGCCTCGGCCTTCGCCTTCATGGAGAGCCTGACGCTGGGGCTGCTGGACTGTCCGGGCGTCAGTGCCACCACCGTGCTGCCCTTCCACACCAGCACCGAGATGTTCCAGGGCATGCGTGTCAGGTGGGTGAGCGCGTGACACTGCGGACCCGGGACCCAGCTCTAACCGAGGGGGAGTGACCGGCTGTGAGAGGGGGGGGGGAGAGAGATGGAGAAAGGGAGGGAAGGAGAGAGAGAGAGAGAGAGAGAGAGAGAGAGAGAGAGAAAGATCAGGCTGCAGCCCATCACAGACTCCCCAAAGGCAGCAGTCAAAGTAGAGGCAGTTTCCAGCTGCACCGAGTTCTGGGCCCGACAGAAGTGGGCCATGCAGGGAGAACCCAGAACCTCAGTCACCCTTGGCGGAATCATGAGCAAGGAGACCATGAAGGGAGCACAGGAGAACTTTCTGGGTACTTAGGAAGATTGTCTCTTCCAGATCTAGGGGAGGGTCTTGTAGGTTGGAATGCACCACACCTCACCTTCAAGATCTGTGCGCTTTGAGCCCAGAGGGATTGTACAGCAGGATGGGTGTTTACTTTGAATGTGGCTGACTTGGGTTCTATCCCCGCATCCCGTATGGTCCCCAGGCACGGGCAGGAGTAATTCCTGAGGGCAGAGCCAGGAGTAAACCCTGAGCATGCTGGGTGTGGCCCCCAAACAGTAAACAAACAAAAGGAGATTTGCACACTTTATGTAGAATAGAGCCTGAATAGGGCAGAAGCAGCAGCACTGGCTTTGCACACGGCTCACCCAGGTTCGATCCCCAGCATCCCATATGGTCCCCGGAACCCACCAAGGAGTGATCTCTGGGTGCAGAGCCAGGAGTATGCCCTGACACCTCCGGGTGTGACCTCCAAATAAACAAAAATAACAAGAAACATGAGAGACTGGAACGAACTCATTGGCTGAGTATGTGCGCCTCAGTCCTGAGGCCCGGGTTCGAGTCCCAGTGACATCCCCCCCGCCCCCGCCACATTCTACCCCACCAAGATGAGTCAGAACCCCTGATTTTGAACCACACTCCAGCTCCTGCAAGGTTTGCAGTTAACTTGAAGTGAGTGCTGGTGACTGAGTAGTTAACTTGAGGTGAGTGCTGGTGACTGAGTAGTTAACTTGAGGTGAGTGCTGGTGACTGAGTAGTTAACTTGAGGTGAGTGCTGGTGACTGAGTAGTTAACTTGAGGTGAGTGCTGGTGACTGAGTAGTTAACTTGAGGTGAGTGCTGGTGACTGAGTAGATAACTTGAGGTGAGTGCTGGTGACTGAGTAGTTAGCTAACTGCCCTGTGGGTGACAGCAAGCCCAGAGGACTTGCCCCTAAGCCCCCAGAGACCAGAGCAGTGTCAGACCTTCGTGGGCTGGAATGGGGGGCAGAGCCAGGTCCTGGCCAGGCTCCTGCAGCTCAGCTTGGAATGCCTCGGTTCCCCCCGACTCCACCTCAGTTTCTTTGTCTGTCAGCTAGAGTCCGGGTTCCTGGGGAGACCCTTGAGCCAGCTACCCTGGGGTGGCCACCCTCACAAGCCTCCCCGAGACTGCAGGGTCTCGGGGAGGCTTGTGAAGTCCCCGCTGTTTGCTCTGACAGACCAGGAAACATCATCGGGACCCACAGTTTCAGGGGGAGACAGTCCCATCAAGGTAGATCCATAGACTGATGGGGGAGGCATCGTGGGGACCCACAGTCTGAGGGGGGTGACGGGTCATTCACTAGGAAACAAGAACAGGCCAGGCCGCCCTGGGTGCTGTGAATGTGCTTGAGCAGGGGGCAGCACCCCCACGGTGGACTGAGCCCTGCTGACCAGGGCCATGGCAGGCCACCGGGGCTGCAGTGGTTGATCAGACAAGGTCCCGCGGCCATCAGGTCTGACCAAGTACTTCCAAGACCCCCCTGACTACCCTGGGACTTGGGGTGAGCCTCCTCTGGTTCCCAGGGGGAGACCCCATCCGCTGGGCGCCCCCACTCACAGGGCTGGTGGAGGGTGACGAGCTCCCAGCATGTGTGAGGGCAGCAGGAAGGAGGGGAGGCGGCCCAGACAGTTCCAGAAGGTCTCAAGGCCCCCGGACAGTGCAACAGGGATGGCCCCGTGCAGAAGCCCCTGCTCCTGACGCCCCGCTCTCTCGCTGCTCACAGGTTCCCCAGGCTCTTCCCCCCACTGAAGCCCGAGACCGTGGCCCGGAGGACAGTGGAAGCCGTTCAGCTCAACCAGGCCCTCCTCCTGCTCCCATGGACGATGCACGCCCTCATTATCCTGAAGAGGTACAGCTGGGGGGCTATCAGGCTCAGGCCGAGCTTCTCCAGGGGACGATGGTGGGCAAAAGGCCTGAGGCAAGGCGAAGGGCACAGCAACCCCATTAGCTCTCAGTGCTCCATCAGCCACAGTGCACAGTGCTCCCTTAGCCATGCCTGCTGTGGACAGGCCCGGCCGAGCCTCCCTGCTCGCAGCCTCCCTCCTGCCTGACTGTGGGCATCAGCACCAGCTGGCTGTCCTCAGGACCCCTGTGGGTCTTCACAGTGCCTGAGCAGCCCAGAGCTCTTGCTTATGTGACCTGCCCCATCCCTCCCGACAGATGACAGCGAGATGAGGGTTGGGGGTTTAGGCATTTGTCCCTACTCAGTGTGTGTATTTGCCTGGCCAACCCATTCCTTGCTATCACAGTTAGGACATTTGTATGAAGAACACGCGTGTTTTCCAAACCCAAAGCGAAACAGGCGCAGTGGAAAGAGACTTGGAAGCGCTTTGCAAAGCCCGTTATTGTCTGGCTGGTGGGAACCCGCAGGCCAGTCACCCCCGCCCCGTTGCCTCGGAGGCTCTGGAAAGTCCCGCGGACACGGGAGAGAAGGAGGGTGGGGGGCACGTTTCTGCAATGATGACGCTGCTGTCACCAACAGTCCGGCCTCCGCGGAGGCGTGGGGTCCCCAGCTCTTCCACACCACTGTAAGAGCTGTGCTCACGTTCTCATGGGCGGCTCAGAACCTTCGCTCTGACGGGGCTCACAGGGGTTCTTGCTGCAAGTGCTCGGAGTCACCGCTCCGCCACAGTGCTCCTGGGAGAGGCCACTTGGGAGGGGGCAGTCTGAGCGGGCCGGACGTCGCCCATGTCTTCCCTACTTTAAACAACAAAAACCCACGCGAGGGGCCAGGTAGGGTGTTTGCCTTGCCTGCGGCTGACCTGGGTTTGATTCCCAGCATCCCATATGGTCCGCCAAGCACCAGCAGGAGTAATTCCTGAGTGCATGAGCCAGGAGTAACCCCTGTGCGATGCCAGGTGTGACTCGAAAAGAAAAAAAAAAAAGCCCATGGGAAGGGGGTTGCAGGTGCCCTGGGGTCTCCTGTCACGGGAGCCGCCTCCAGTCCCACCTGCTGAAGCCAGCTGGCACCCAGGACGGGGCACTGTGCCTCTGCCTGGGTCCTGCAGGCCCCCCGCAGGAGAAATGCAGGGACACTCCTCAGCCCTCCTCACCCCTGCCCCCTCTCACGGAGTTCTTTGGAGACACAGCTCAGTTGGCAGGGTCACACTCAGTTGCCCTTGGTCCATCCTGGCCATCAGGCCCGAGAGGAGCAGAGACTTGATGCCACAGATGCCAGGCCAGTCCCCTCCACTGCAGGGAGGTGTTTGGAAATGCTTTAGAACTTTCCAGAAAGCACACATTCACACCCGATTTTGCTCAGGGCCCCTCAGAGCGCTCCACCCTCAACCTCCATTTTCTGTTTCCTCTGCAATTTTCCACCCCTCCCTCCCCATTCCCTGCATTTCACCTTCTCCAAGAGAAATCTGGTGCTACCACCTCCAAGCAGCCTTCCAGATTGCTCCAGCCGGAAGTGAGCCTTTCTCCCTCTTTAAATAAAGAAGGGGGGGGGGGGTTCCCCAAAGGAACTGTGGCCCCCTTCTGCTCTGTGCTCAGCCTGTGCTCCGAGTAGAATCAGAGATGAAACCTCTGTCGCACAGGTTGTCCCACGAGCTTGATCGGCCAACAGCGAGGACGGGACTGAGGCATGCGAAGGAGCACAGGGACTGGGGTGGCAGGAGGGAGATGGGGGCTCGGGGGCCGGACTTTGCCCCAGAGCCTCACCCAGCAGCGTGTGGAGATCCCAGTTGGAGCCCCCATAGACACTCACCTGCCCGGCATGTGTCTTAGGAAGTTTCCTCTGTCACCTGTAAAGAACTGTTTGTTCGTCCCAGAGCGATAGTCCAGCGGGGTGGGCACTGGCCTTACACGCAGCTGACCCGGGTTCGATCCCATATGGTCCCCTGCGCACCCCAGGAGTAATTCCTGAGTGCAGAGCCAGGAGTAAGCCCTGAGCATCGCCGGGTGTGGCCAAGCCCCCTCCCGCCCAACAAAGGAAGAACTGTCTATTCACTAACTCGGAGCCCGTCCTCCGCGGAGGGGGGCTTGGTGTATATGCTGTGCCCGCTGACCCCTCCCTGACCGTCTGCTCTCTCCCTCCCCACGCCCCCAGCATCCTCCCTCAGGCGGCCCTCGAAGAGATCCACAAGTTCTCAGGAACCTACACCTGCATGAACACTTTCAAAGGGCGGACATGAAGGCAGGACACATGAGCACTGTGCGAAGCCACGGAGCCGGAGGGGCCACGGCGCCCAGGCGCACACACCATGCTCCCGCCCTGGGCGCACTGCTGCTGAGGGAGCCTGGCTGCCTCGGCCTCAGGGAACACCGGCTGCCCCTCAGCCAGCCCCAGGACCTTTGCACAGGACTGGAGGGCCCAACTCTGACCCCCATGGGGAGGCAAGAAGCCAGCCAGATGCCGCCTCGACACTTCTGTCCATTTCTCGTTCCGTAGAGTTTACGGTTCAATCGCTTCTCGGGCCTAAGCCTCTGCAGAGCGCAGAGACCGTTTCCAGGAGGCTCCGTCCGGAAGTGCCTCCTTCCCCTCCAGAATCCACGCGTCCTCGGCTTGTGCAAACTGGGTGAACGGCAGGAATGGAAAAATAAAAGAGTCATGGCTTTTGAGAGGTTGGTTTGCTTTTGTTTTGGTGGGTTTTGCTTTGGGCTGTACTTGGTCGTTGCTGTTGCTGTTGCTGTTGCAAAATCCTTGATCTCGCTCCTGGGTGAACACTGGGAAGGGAGCCCACCCAACCACCAAACTGCATCCGAGGATGGAGAAGCAGCGTCTCGGGATGCCCAGCCCGCGGGCACAGAGGAGGCAGAGATCAGGAGAGAAACAGTGGGGTCTGGGAGCGGGTGCTCCGGCCGTGGGGGCTCCTGGTAGTCAGCGCTGTGCCCGGCCACCTGCTTGCCCAGAAGACACGTCCTAGAGTCTGAAGCAATTGCCACGAGCCCTGTCACGGCGCCACCTGCCACCAGCCACTGCTAGAGAAGGCAGAGCCTTGTTTAAGCGCCTACTGTCTACCGTGCTTATGCCGTTGCTGAAAGGGGAACTGCTTCTAGACAGCGCATACCCTGAAGGCCGCCAGTGCGATGAGGCCACGGCCAAGGGCTACATTGGGTGCCACATTGGGTAGTCACAGATTAACATGGGTCAGCCCAGGAGCGAGGCCAAGGCTGGGGGGCAGGAGGGACCAGCCCTGCAAGCTGGAGGGGGGGCCTGGTAGGCTGGAGGGAGAGGGTCCCTTGTCCCGGTGCCATCTCTGGAGATGGGCGGAGTGGGAGTGCCTTGGGCAGGATGGAGGGTTCTTGTCTACTGCTTTTTTTTTTTCTTTTTGGGTCACACCTGGCAATGCAGAGGCTGGCTCTGCACTCAGGAGTTACTCCTGGCGGTGCTCAGGGGACCATATGGGATGCTGGGAATCGAACCTGGATCAGCCCTGTGCAAGGCAAACGCCCTACCTGCTGTGCTGTCTCTCCAGCCCCATCTACTGCTCTTTTTAAAAAAAAACTGCGGCTGGAGTGATAGCACAGTGGGTAGGGCATTTGCCTTGCATGCAGCCAACCCAGGTTTGAATCCCAGCATCTCATAAGGTCCCCTGAGCACCACCAGGAGTAATTCCTGAGTGCAGAGCCAGGAGTAACCCCTGTGCATCGCCGGGTGTGACCCAAAGAGCTAACAAAAAAATAATAAAATTTTAAAAAATTGGGTGTGGGGGAGGTGAGCCGCATTCAGTGATGTTCATGGGTCACTCTTGGTCTGTACTCAGGAATCACTCCTGCTGGGCTAATTACCATATGGAAGAGCAGGGATTGAACCCAGGTCGCCTGCGTGCAAGGCAAGCGCCCTCCCCGCTCTGCTATTGCCTTGGCCAAAGCCCCAGCTTTTCTGACCATCGTGAGTGGCAGCGGATTTCCAGCCTCCTGGCTTCCCTGGCAGAGGGGTGTGACTGTGAGGGTCCAGGCCGGGGCGGGGGGGGGGGGGGCGGTGCGGGAGCCCGGGGAACGGTGGGACTGGGAGATCTGGAACCTGCTGAAAGAATCGCCTCCTCCCGAGCTGAGTGGAGGGCTGGAGGGCAGGACAGACGCCCCCTGTGCTGTGCCAAGCAGGGCAGAGTGACAGGCGCGGACCCCTGGGGCAGGACGGGGTGCACCAGCATCCACTTGGGTCCTGGGAAATGACCCCGTTGCCAGGCCGGAGGCTCCTGCCATCCCAGAGGAGAACCAGACGGGAGGTGGGCACAGAGCCCAGGGTGGCGCCTGGCGGGGACCCAGGGGGCAGTGCCATCTGGGCTGGCCAGAGTCGGGAGTGAGTCCCTGGTCCTGCCCCGCTCCAGGATCGGGATGGGCAGAGACACGGCACCCAAGGGCCAGGGTGACAGTCAGACCAAGCCGAGGTGCCCAGTGGCCCCCTGAGAGCCGTCTGAGGACACAGAGGCTCTGGCCCAGGGAGGCCCAGTCCAGTGAAGGGACAGGAGAGAAACCGAGTCACAAAGAGCTGCATGGGGGTGAGATAGTACAGTGGGCAAGGCACTTACCTTGCATGCGGTCGACTCATTTTCAATCCCCCAACATCCCATAAGGTCTTCTGAGCACTGCCAGGAGTAATTCCTGAGTACAGAGCCTGGAGCAACCCCTGAGCACTGCCAGGTGTGGCCCTGAAATAAAAACTTAAGTCAGATGAATAGTTGGCATGAAGAGGCCCAGCGCGAGCCCCACCTAGAGAAGCGGTGACTCGGGGTGGGGGTGCCTGGGCCACTCCGCGGGGACTCAGGGCGTGGGGAGGCTGAGCCCCATCTGGGAAGAGCACTGGGCAGGGACCCGGCCATGTCCCCCACACCAGCACCTCTAGCGTGTCCCCTCTGGGCATCTGGCGGGTCCCCAAGACAAGGCCCAGCGCTGGGCTGTGTCTCCCCCCCCCCCGGGGCCTCCCCAAGATGTGAAATCCCCGTGTTTGGGAGGTGGGGTGAAACAGTCCCTGCTGCCACCTGCCACATGTCACCCATCCCTGCTCACCACCTACAGGGGACACTCACAGCCTCTTGCTCCTGAGTCCAGGATGAGAATCTAGGGAAAGTCCCCAGATGAGGGGGGGTTGAAGCATTGGAGTCACCCCTTCACAAGACGGGAACCGACCTTGCACCCTGCACCCCCATCTGGCCCATTGTGGGCATCCGGTGGCCCCTGAGCAAGGCACCAGCCCTGCCCAGGACCCCCTCCGGGTCAGTGTCACACATTAGGGCCACCGGGGGTCGCCCCTAACAGATGTTAGTTAGGGGTCTTATTCTTTGGAGCCTCAGCTTCTCTGCCCCACCGGACCCTGAGCACAGGCCAGGTCCGGTTTGCTACAGCTTCTAGAAAGTTCTCCGGAAAGTTCACCCTGGATCAGGATTTGCCGTCTGAATGAGAGGGTCAGCGGTGGCAGGCATCCACTCTGAGCTGTCTCTTTCCCCACATACTCGGTCTTCCCCCACCACGTGGGCCCCCCAAAAATGAGCACCCGTGTGTGGAAGAACATGCTTTGTTGAGGACCCTTCTCTGTTGCAGGGAGGCCCTGTGCCCCGTGGGACACTTGGTGGCACCTTGATGTCTATTCATAAGACACCAGTGGGATTTTTGCAAGATGGGACCCAGACCCAGAGGGGGGCTGAGTTCGGCAACAGACCGGGAAGGGGAGTGGGAACCCCCAAAAGGGAGCCGGCCCTGCCCCTAGGGCTTCCACACCCCCCCCCCAAGGTTCCTCCTCCTTTGCATCTGGTTGGAAACTGGCCCCGTGGCGAACAGAGCCCAGGCGCGGCGTTCTCCAGCCTGCCTCCCCCCACCCCCAAATCCTCCTCATTCCGTTCATTTTTCACTGTTCCCAAGACAAAGGACAGCAGCCGGGAGGGAGGGGAACGCGGCGCGCTGGGCCGGCCCCTCCGCAGCTGCTGTGAACTGACCGCAGCTTGGCGGGGGTCACTCCGGGGACGGCCGAGTCCCACCCAGCCCCGTCTTGGGCATGTCCCAGGCCTGCTGTGCCGACAGTGAGGGAGCGAAACACCCACAAATGCCACGCTGGATTCCTCCGTGACAGTGATTTCCAGGGTTCCACTGGCCAGGGCCAGGACCTGGGCAGGGCGAGGGTGTCTGGTGCTGCACCTCCAGCCGGCAGCCAGGAGCCAAGGGAGGAGCTGACGTGTGGAGCCAGCCACATCAGGCTGGGGTTCAAAGCCCAGCTGGGGGTCTTCACCAGGTCACGGAAGGGACCTGTGTCCCCAAGTGCCCTCATCCGTGGGACGGGCCCCGGGGGACCAGGTGGTCCTCGCTAGTTGCAGTCATACAGGCGCCATCCCAGACTAACGAACGGGAGAGAGCGCTGGGTGTTGAGAAACACTGAGTGTATGATATTTCCTAACACTATTTCATAATAAAAGCAATAAATTAACTGTGTGCTTGGGGCACGATCGACCCTCAGTGCTTTAAATGCATTTAATAAAGAAAACCTCTGGAAAGGGGGCAGGAAGGGAAGCAGGCATCCGGCCCACGCGTGGCAGAGCCAGGATTCGGTTGTTTTTTTTGTTTTTGCCTTATTTGGGGGCCACACCCAGTGCTGCTCAGGGCTGACTCCTGGCTCTGTGCTCTGGTGGTGTCAGGGATCAAACCCAGATCGGCCACTGCCAGGCACAGTGCCTTACCCACTGAACTCTGAGTCAGCCCCTAACGTCAGGATCTGAACCTGAGTCCGGCTTCAAAGCCCTTCTTCTGATCCCTGGGTTTGCAGCTTCGTAAACCCGAGCCTCCTTGTGAGAGCCAGAGTACACGGCCACTCTCTACTGCTGCCCCGCCGTGCAGCCCGGCTCTGCTTGGTCCTCTGGGTCAGTGCTACTGCACGTTCCAACACCGCGTGGCCCAACTTCATGATACTTGAGTTTCAGGGGTGCCAAACCAGACTGGCGTTAAGTGGGCATCGAGGCCTTTCTCAATCAACCATGTTCCAGGTGGTTCTCCTTCCAGAGTACTTGGCCCGCTGCCCTCTCCACTGTGGGCCTAGTAGTGAAAACTCCCTTCTCAGTGCCCCAGCCATCACACACACACACACACACACACACACACACACACACACACACACACATACACACACACACACACACGCATATACATGCACAGACATAAGCACACAACTTCACATAGACATAGACAGGGGCATGCATGCACACACAAACCCACATACACCTACAGATGTGCGCACACACATGTCCTTGGTCTCAGGTCCCAGAACTGGGCACAGAGTCAGTGCCCATGGGCAAGCTGCTCCCTCTTGCCAATGATCAAGTTCCTAAAATGTGCCCACACCCTCGCATATACCTTGAAGGCCCCTGATCAAGAGAGAGGAAGTGCCCTGCAGGGTGTTGTGCACAAGGAAGCAAACACTGGTGCAGGAATCTGCCCGCCCTGGCCCAGGCTCCCTCCCCGCCTTTACCCCAGCAACCACTGTCAGCTTGAGGAACTGCTGAAACAGACGCGGGGAGCTCAGTGATCTGGGGATGCCATCCGGGCTCGAGAGTGAGGCAGGGGCCACAGGACCGTGAGGAGGGCACCATGCTCTGACCAGACAACCACAGTTTGGACTGAGGTTCCAGGAGTTC